CATGTCTCAAAAAAGTTGTAAGAAGTGCACCAGTATTTACAGACCCCATTAAACTATGCATAAATAAAATCTATACACTCAATGCACTGTTTCTTAAAATACAGAACCTCCACGGGGACTTGAGGTTGGGGGGACAGGCAGCAACAAATTGCTTCGTGCCTACCCTTTTCAAGTTTACTCAAAACATCTGAAATAAATATGCAAATGAAGCTTCAGTACCCTAAAAGAACATGTCGTTTCAAAGAGCCTCCCATTTGAAGAGTTAACTTTCAAAGTTTTTTTTTTTTTTTTTTTTTTTTTTTTTTTTTCTAAAGGACAGGGAAAAAATCATCAGCAGGCTTGGTTTCTACAAGTTTCCTAAAACCAGAAGGCTTTTAAACTCCTTTGAACACGGGGATTTAGAGTGTGTCAAATACCACCTATTAATTAGTTGCTAAGCAGATAGACCCTTTGCCTCCCGCCAGAGGAGTTGATCTCCGAAGAAGCTAGATACACACTTTTCTTTTTTTCAAGGTAAATATTGAGCAGACACAGAAACCAGCCATTACCTTAACACTGAAAAAATAAAGGTATTGTTGATCTGTTGATCTAGAGCACATCAATTTGACATTTTGATGGCTAAGTGTGTGGGTCTGTTAGCCCAGGCAATGTATTTAAAAGATTCTAAAACTTGTAGCACCACTTTCAGGGAAGGAAAGAATGGGGTTCAAAAAAATAAAAGCTTAATGAATAAAGAGCCAGTACTTGTCACCTTCTGATAAAGTTCCAAAGCTAGGAGATAGCTCAGCGCTAGAGAAACAACTAAGGAATCCAGGCAGGGAGCGGGGGAGGTGATCGCTGTGGATCCGGAACAGGTGGAGGCCCTTTAAATAGTAAGGTAGGTGACAAACTCTTCCCCCAGGCCAAGAGGGCTCTCATCTGTGCGGTGGAGAAGGATTCTTGCAGTCCTGTTCCCTCCCGACTCTCCGAAGCTTTGTTCGTCCCAATTTTATTTCCTGTGCTTCTCCATTTTCTCCAGGGTTTTGTTAGAATCAGCTGGATTCTGGTCTCCGGGGTTCATGTAGGATTTATCTATGACAACCAGGGCTTCTTTGATGCAGCTCTGCAGGGCAGATGGCCTGGCTGCCAAACCCGTGGGTAATCAGGCTGAAATGAGACTGGCAGCTCTGTATGTTTGTCTCCAAGACTGGGGCGGAGGACCTGCTGGTGCCATTGGGTGTCTGGTCTCCGCTGAGAAGCTCCATGCATTCTTTATACACTTGCTGGGCTGCCAGTAGCATGTTCTTCCTAGTTGCCATCTCATTTCGTCCTCCCAGATGAGGCCTGGTTAAATATTCTGCCACTGGTTTACTAGGAAATTCGGCTTCACAGACGTAGGCAAAGTCTCTAGCCGAACGAACAGCTTCCCCTTCTACTAAGGTTGTCAGGAGAGTCACCACATAAGCGGCTTTCCCTCTCCCGGCCTAAGATCAACCCAGTCTTGTCCAACTTCTCCTGCAAGGGCCGGCCTGCATTTTTCGATTTGGCTCTTCTGAGAACATCTCCCAGTAATGAGGCATTTAAGCATTCGGACGGGGACAATCGCCTCTGCACTTCAGCCGCCGTCACTTTGTATTTTGAAGTAAAGCTGAGGAGAGACAATCTTCCAGGGACTGCGCAGAAGATCTCAGTGGGGTTCATTACGAGCCCCACCAGCTCCTTCTGACAGGGGAGGTTCAGAGGGTTCTCGGTCATGGAAATGGGACCTTTGTGAATGACTGACTGATCGTGCAACAGTAGGTGCTGGTCGTCAACATTCTGCACCTCGTCCATCTGGTAGGCCATGTCGTGCAGCCCCAGATTTTCGGCCAGGACCGCTGCATCGGGGCGTGCGCATGGGGCGGCAGCAGGTTGGAGCGGTGGTAGGCATTCCCGCGGGCGCTCACCGACCCGCCTCCAGCCCGGAGAGGTGGGGCCGCAGGCCGGCGGGCGCCCGTGGTGCAAGGCAGCCCCGCTCCCCCCTGGTTCTGGCGGCCGCGCCAGGCCTGCTGCCGGTGGGCGCCCGCTGGTGCAGGAGGTTGATGGCGGCGTGCGCTTCCCCCGGTGCGAGTAGGGGTCGGCCGATTGCGAGTAGGCCAGCCGCTGGTAGGGAGGGGGAAAGCAGGGTGGCGGCTGGTATTCCGCGACTCCAGTGTGGGAGAGGGGCGGCGCGGGGCTGCAGAGGTGCGGTCCGGCGGAGGAGAGGTGGGGTACTCGTGGGTTCCCCCATCGTGGCGATCACGTAGGAACTGGAAACTCATCATGTTAGCTCTTCAGCCCTCTGTGAGTTGAGGATTTTGAGAGTAAGAGCTTCGCAGAAAAAGAGTTCCCCAGGGGCCGACTCGTGTGCAGTAAACACACGCTTCCAACGTTTACTTAATTCTGAAAACTCATTCTTTTACCTGTTAGCTTCATGTGTTCTTTTCCAAAATGACTATTCAGGTTGTCTGTTCAATTTTTGTTATATTATTTGGTTTTGTGTGTTTCTCTACTTAGTTGTGTTCATTTCTGGCAAATAGTCAATACAAACTTCCTTCCCATATGTGATCTCTTATAATTTTTTCCCAATTTGTAGGATGCCTTCTGTTTTAATTCATTTTCTCTTTTCT